CACTTACGCACACATTTAACTCTATTCTAATATATCCAGGACTTTTTCTTCCACTAGAGCTTCAGTAACAATTTAAGCATCAATATACAATGTTATGTAAAAATATCGAAGTAGCAAATTATGCGAGACTTTTATATATACCCAAGTACGCAATCTGCTGCCGTAAATCTGAAATAATTACACCGCATTAGAAAATTGGGTTTTAAATTGCATCGTACGTATAAATAGGTATGAGACTCCATATACGTGTATATGTATGTAGCTGGATTAGAATAGGCTTCTTACTTTTCCCCGCATATGAATTTTCCGTTGTGTAGTAACTTTTCTATGTAGGTGTCACAAAATTCAAACTTTGACATCATATTTTGAATTAAGTCTTTGTTCCTTTTTCCTGGCTCTACAAACATCCATTGGACAAATAGTTGTTCAAGGATATCATCAAGTGTGTCATAACAGTAAAAAAAATTATGCTGAAAAAATACGAATAATACGAAAATAAGTATTCAAAAATAATCAAGTTGTGTTTTAATAATTCTGGTTAAAGCCACTTTTAATAAATGCTTTCACATACATTTGTATCTTTTTTTATTTGTTTTCACATATTTATCGACAACTTGTCAAAGGAATTGGACACAAGTTGCAAAACTTAAGATAGTCTTTTTTAATTCATAAAATCTGAATAGCCATAGCATTAACAAAGTTTTACAATAATATATACATGTACACAGAAAACAAAGATATCTGTTCTTATAAAGAAAGAAATTAGTATTTTAAAAAATGATATATAAGGACGGGTTTAAAAACAGAGAATCTACAATCTCTGTTGCCACTTACTTGAGGTACTCCATTTTTCTGTCTTTCTCTGGTTGGATTTTTTGGTAGAGATCTGCCAGATACATACAGATGGCACCTGATTCTATCTAGGGTTCTTTCCCCTTTATTTCGAGTGCTGGCACTGTGCCAAGATGATGAACATTCTTTCTATAATGGTCAATCTTTGATCGGTCCGTATCTCTTGAATTGTGTAACTCGAATTGGACATCGTCCGTGGCTCCCAATTCTAAAAAATAGTTTTTGTGTCACTGTTTTATGATTGAAGTTTCTGTAATTCCGAGTAACTATGCATTTCCTTGTGGCAGGCCTAGGCTTTTTTAAATAACTATGTCCTCAAAAAAGTAAAACAAAAATACAACACCCCCTCCAAATTAATAATAGTATAAATATAATAAAAAACAAGATATAAAACCAACCATCTATCCCCTTATGATTATATAAAATTTATTGTTAGAGTATACAATGTTGTATTTGTGGCGTCGGTAGTCTATTGGTTAAGATGCCGGACTCCAAACTGAAAGGTTGCGAGTTCGAATCCTGGCTGCGGCAAGTCGACGTTGTGTCCTTGGGAAAGGCACTTTACACGAATTTCCTCACTCCACTCAAGTGTAAAAGGGGTACCTGGCTATAGACAGTAAAAGATATTGTCAGAATGATAGTGTTCTGGCGCCTTAACGGCAGCTTGCACTGAGAAAGATTCAGGAGTGTTATGGTCTGCTGGGGGTAATAATGATTGTAAAGCGCTTTCAGTAACATTCATGCTAGAAAGGCGCTATATAAATCCAATCATTATTATTGTAGTATTTGAAATGTCATCAATGAAACATATGTAGAAAACGAACAGTATTCAAGCTCAAAAATCCATAACAAATACAAAATAGGAGCACAGCTAACACGATCCTCAAAAACGCAAGAGTTGGGATCGGGTGCAATGGAGGAATGAGCATCCCTTCCGACCGGTCACACCCGTCGTGTGCTCCTTGTCATAATCGGGAAATAAGGGGAAAATCCGTCGTCAATGTGAATAAATAATGGACAAACAATTAGAATGAAAAACGTCAGTCACCGTTTGACTCAATGATAAATTGTATTTGCTGTCAAGGTCATTGTATCGACCATAGAACTTAGGAAATGATGGCATTAAACGAGAGTACTGATATTCTTGTTTCATCAACTTGTTTGTCACTGTTTTACCTCGTTTCAGAAATAGTTCATATGTAGCCCTGAGCATACTCTTGCGTATCGAATAAATTGAGATATATAAACTCCGTACGCAGGTGTGAAGGTAAATTGCTGTTAAGTAAGGGAAGTTGATGATAGAAAAGTTAAAGTCATCACGTTTATCATAGAGTTAATTGTTAAATTACTATTAACGTCTTTTTCAAGTAAAATATCCAAATATGAAACAGATGTGTCAGACTCTGTGGTATCTTTTATCTCAAGCTCACCAGGATATATCATATCGACATAAGAATGGAAATAACCATTGTTTATTGACAATACGTGCAAATTCTGCTTCATATTAATACAACATAGGTCTGCTTATAACGGAGCACAATTGGTACCCATGGGAATTCCAAGAGGACCTGGTCTCCAAAAACAACATAGATATTGTCAATCAAAAACTCATTATCTTATTGATGTCAACTTCAAAAAATTAAAACTGAAATTGAAAAAAAAGGATTTTTTTCTTTTGAAATATATAATATATATGCTGACGTGTAAAAACTGTCGTTACAATATTCTTTTGTTGTTGTGACACACAAATCCACAATACTGACCTGTCGAACTACAAGACGGAGTGAAATGTGTTATATTTTTCCTACGTTATCATTGACCTAGTAGAAAGCCATATGCATCGGTTGGAGAAAATAAAGTCGCATGTTATATTTGTTTGTGATATGAAACCGTGACATTAACCTTAAAAAAATTCGTAAAAAATTTTTCATGAAAAATGATATAAGAGTCATACCATGAACAAGTCTCCATGTTCGCTCCCTACAGACTCCCGTATGCGTGTTATCATCTCAGGAAGCTCTCTATATAAATACACCTTCTGATATAAACGAGCTAGTGTTTGAAAATGAAATTTCAGATAATAAGAACTGTACCCCTAATCCTTCAAGCAGCCATAGAAAAATTCACACAAAAATTATGGCCTTGATATCATAATATAGATGTCTCCTCATAAATTTCATTCAGATGGAAAATCATATAACAAAATTTTCTGTTGCAATAAAAATTTGTGGGAAAATTGATAACATCAAAACCACACTATAAACAAAAATATTTCAACAAGCGATGTTAATGAAACATGCATCCCCCTTTTTGGACATTTTTTTAACAAAGTCCACGGAGCATAACTCTGCCAAAAAATTGCTCGATCGTGCTCTAAACAAAACTTGACCTAGATATTCTTATGATAAATCTATATACCAAATCTTATTTCAGCATGTGCAACCTCTGCGAAGAAAGTGAACGGAAACTGTTTGTGGACGGACAGACCTACTAACCGACACACAGCGCTAGCCCTACCTTCTTCGAAGGGGGCATAAAAATTGTGGACTTTTTTTTTCAAAAGTGTATTAGTGCCATAGGTTGGTAGTTCAAACTTTAAAGTTGACTTTTCCAACTTAAATCTTATCTTTTTCAATTTCAAATTTGGCTTTTCCACCTTTTTAAGTTGGTAACTCCAAAAGCCAGCTGTAGAGTTTGAATTACTAACTTTGAACACTAAACTTTGAAAGTTGAAAATGCCATGTAAGATTAAAATTTAAAAGACGCCAAAAATTAAAGTTAGAAAAGCCAAGGCCAACAGTAAAGTTGGAAGACTAACGTTGAAGTTTGAAACAGCCAAGATTGCAGCTGCATTACTAACTGTAAAAATTGAGAAGTCAAGTTTTAAAAGTTGGAATAACTAATGTTATAGTTGGAAAGCGAAGAGTAAAGTTTAAATTATCAACTTTAAAAATAGAATATAGTACGTGACACTATAAAAACGCTTTCGTATTTTCTGTTATTTTTCATTGATTTTGCTTAAACATAATTTCAGAAAGTTATTATCTACACATATTACACTTTGAAAGAATATCGGGAAAAAGAAAGTCCTTATCTACTAGTAGTTTATTAAAATTAATCCATATAGTTACTTGTTTTAATTTTTATTACTTTTTTTAATCTTTATTTAGTGTCTGAAATAGAATATTGAACAAATAAAATGACTGTCATTTGACATGCTTGCAATTCTTAATTGGATTTATTTAATTTCATAAGAAAAAAGTAAAATCCGTGATCAATATAATTGGCATATAAATTGTTATGAAAAATAATTATTTACAGCCCGTTTCCAAAAGTTCACTGATCAAAGAGGAACAACTCTAAAAATGTGAGATATTTCCCCTCTCTTTGTTGAGTTTTTTCAAATTGTTTGCAGAATAGTTGTGATGATACATTTACATTGAATTCTGATGAAGTCAGGTGGCGCCGGAACCGAGAGGAGAGGGGGGAGGGGCTAAAAGAAGGGTTTTAGGCCTCCACCTTTTTTTGCAAATTTTTCTTTATGATCTTTAAACCAGTATAAATGTAGAATTGAAAACGGGGGCAAAATTTGATTAAACGCAAATACAATAATTCATATGCATGTTTTTGTAATGAACTACAAATGTATTACATGTACTATATACAGGAACATGTGCACTGTAAAAAATAACCAGTTAAGATTAGTAAATCTAGAATTGATGAGTATAACTTTCACTAAGTATCTTTACAACCCCTGTTCCATAACTCACTATTTTAACCAGCACTAAGCTGAAAGTTTTCTAATCATGACAAATGCTTTAAGAGGCACACTAGTTAAATTCACTAGGTTTTTCTTTCAGTGTGTGTGCATGTTTATATTTTAAGCAAACATAACTTGAACACTGTTTTTTGTGTTTTATTGCAGAACCCTGAAAAACTGAGGGAATGTCTCAAAAATGGCACTTTGTCTTTGAGAGACCTTGACAACAAGGGTAATTCATAAAGAAAACATTAAAAAATAAAACGGTAAAGAGCAGATTAAAAATTGTACAGGATTCTATAGAAAGTAAGATATGAGAAGTGAGCAAGGGGGAGGTGAATCAGGTACTAGCTGAAATTTAAAAAAAAGTTTTTCCAAACTTTTAAAGCAGAAAAGGGGATCCTCAGGAGGCAGAAGAAGACGTAGGAAGTGTAAGAAGGGTGGCAATATAACAACAGACGATGCGACAAAAACTCAGGCTGTGGAAAAACCACAAAGCACTCCGAAGATTCGCAGACCATCGAAAACAGAAGGCAATTCCAAAAATACCAAAAAAGGTCTGAAGTGGAAAGCTCAGGACAACGAGTCAGAAATGGTAAGAATTCATAAATTTCAATGATTCTTCTATAATTTCAGTAATAGAAAATGGTTTAAATCATACATTTTACATTGTTCTAGGTAGTGCGCAGCATTCTTGATGAACTCTTTGATCGCGTTTGTAGCTATTTTGATGTACTGAGTACAAGTTTGTTAAATAATTAAATTAAATTTACAATTTACTTTTTCATCTCTTACAAAATTTGAAATCAACACATTATATATTATTCCGTAGTTTCGGTTATGTGAACTCTGTCGTTTTTCCATTTCAGCGATGCCAAAGAGATAAATGCAAAAATCCCCGCTCTGCTGGCAGCTTCTAACCAGAAAATCTTAGCTACAAGAGATTTTAATGCTGGACATAGAAGAGCAACACTTTAGGTATGTACCACAGGCACTTGTTTTGGAAATATAACCCATTTTATAATATGGGTTAAAAATAAATTTCGGAAACAAGTGCCTGTGGTTTGTACTAGTTAATACATTTAGTAATTATAAATGTATGACATTTACATATAATTATTTTATTGCAAGATTTAAGATGGATTTATCGTTAAGTTATAAATAGAATTTTAAATCCTTTATTGACAGTTATTAAACGAAGCAGCACGGGAAAATGTAGAGGATCTGACCACACGTGCAACTATACGTTGTTATAATTTCCCTAGGTACATATACATATTATACGATAAACTACCGTCCCTACAGGGTAGGAAATAAACTATATATGTATTTAAAAAAGATTTTTTTTGACATGTCACACAGCATTAAAATATAAAATTTACATTTAAACTTATGATAATTTTAGAAAAGTTTTAAAAATTATTTAGAGCAAAGGAGTCACATAAAAGATGAAATCTTTAAATTTTAAAAAAGTGGCAGAGTTGGAAAAAAATTGAAAGGGTGTATGGCAACCTTATAACATTTTGCATGTTTCAAAAGCATAAACTCGTGACGTTTTAGACAAAAAATCTCTATGGATAATATATATTGTTATGTGTTACTTATAAAAAAATATTTTTATTGTCTTTCAGTTTATCAAGCTCAAGCGAGGGACAGTTATTTACAACCTACCCGCTCCGATCTCCAATTGATGGCGTGCGACAGAGGGCGTACCAAGAACTGTTGAGGGATGAGAAAATGAAAATACAAAAGGTGTCTATTAATCGGAGAAATATTAATTTCAAATAATATAGTTTTGTACACACTGTGTTCACACATTCTCAATATTTCGTTCACTTATAATGATTCCGGTCTCGTTTTTAATTTCTTAAGATGAAGAACATGACAACATCAGAAATTGACCAGTACTTCTTTAATTTTCCGACCACACGTACAAAATTTAACGAAGCAAGAATCTTGCAGACACATGAGTTTTATGAAAACGAGAAGAAAATGGCCCAAAAGGTATTAAGATTATTTGTAGCTTTATACACTCATAAAATACACTAAAGGTCTACACTAAATTGAAACGAAATATTATTATTATTCACTGTATTATAATTTTTTGTCCAATTTAAATCCTTTTGATTATATACTAAATTGAATGTATAAAGACATGGCACTTTTGAAAGAAGTAATGAGAGATTAAAATTATTAATAAAGATTTTTCATTATCGACAGTAGATTACGTATAACCATAATGATTTCTTTTTTTCATTGACAGTTAATGTACGAAGCAGCACAGGAAACCGTGAATGACCTACTAATCAAGGCCACGCCTAACTGCGATATTGCTGGGTATGTACTAAAATGTATCAAGATTTTGTCCATTAATCGATGTGGATTGGATTTTATTTTCATTACTTATTTCAAATTAAGGTTGTTTTCCTAATTATATGGATCAAATCAGTGTTCACTGTGATAATGTTAGGGTTCACATAAAAAACCCAATCTGATTAAAATCAGATCCTTTGATCCGCTCACACGAGATCGCTTCACAAGTGTGAGCGGATCAAAGGATCTGATTTGAATCAGATTGAATAAATAAATAATAATTTTACAAAGAAAATGCAAGTGAATTAAATGAAAAAAATATATTTTGTTTCTAAAGATTGTTGTCATTTATAAATTTTGACTAATTATTCACTGAATAATTTCCTGTTTACAGATCAGTTAAAATAGAGGTGGATATACCTACCTTAGTAAGATCTGAGGAATATACAACCAGACTGAAAGCAGTCATAGAAAAGACAAACGCTGAGAAGTTGGCAATGCAAAAGGTTTTAATTAAGAGGGATGGAGGCTGTGGCCATTTTTAGACTATATTTATCTCCTTTAGAAGGAGAGCTCCGTATGAAGATATTCAAAAATGATCAAATTTTAAAACTAAGAGATACTGTATAAATTTTTTTTGTGCAAATGATAGAGTTGACAGCTTGATATATTATATCTGAAAAATGAAGTTTCTAGTATATCTGATGGTTTAATTGTTGACCCTCTAGCCTCCATTATGTTATGCTCATATTAGTTTTGCAATTCCTTTTTAAATGCGCAACTTATCTACTTCACGATTTTCTATTATTAAAAAAAGATATTTAAATCTTTTACTTTCTTGTTTAGATTATGTACAGCCTCGGAGGTCGTTGGAGATTTGTTCACAGGTGCAGCAAGGTTTGTACAGATTTTGTACCTGCATTGGTAATTCATATTTTCATCCATTAAAAAGAAAAGCGATGCGAAAATCGAGTCCTTTGTTTGATTCCTCCTTTCTCTTTTTTGTAGCTTAAAAACTTTGTCTGAAACAGATGTAAGCTACGAATTGGTACGTACTTAATAAACTTTTTTTCATATAAAACTCGATGCACTAAAAAAAATACTGCTCTTTCAAAGATATCGGAGTGCTAAAAAAAACAACTAATATCTGAAGTAATGTGAATAACTTTTGTTATTTTCAGGAGGAGGACGATCAAGTGCCAAAACGGAAAGACTGGCGAAGTTTCTTTTGTTGCGCATGCGTCGAAGTAAACAAACAACAGGTAACCATCCATCTTCATTTTATTTCAGTGTATTTCCTTAATATGTTTAATTCAGGTATCTAAACAATGATTTATTTTTCATAAAACCGATTCCTTAAAACGTTTGACAGACTCTATATATTTATTTTTACAGAAGAAAGAGAAAAAAGAGAAACGTGGATTGCTTAACAGGCTGCGCCGTTGGTTTAGTCGCTGATAAATTGAACGAGAAGTCTACTATATGTAATATGTAGTTTATAATTCGAAAATATGTGAAGAAAGCATTCCTTTGATGAAAGGACATTAATTATGATTTGGACAATTCACTTACTATATTCATCATTTAGAGAAAAGAAAAAGATTAATGTTTCGCAATAAAATATACCGGTATAATTTTCTGTTCTTGTGTGTTCATGAATTAATGACCGAAAATTTGTTTCAACCGTTTCTTATAGAAAAACATGTAAACAAGAAATGGACCCAATTTTTTTATAGACATTGCATTGCAGTGCAGTGCAGTGCACTAAAGTGCAGTTGAATCTTATTTGAGTAAATAGTATGAATTCTCTTAACAAAGCAATGTACTCAACACTTAAAGATAGAGGAGTGTTCATTTCTTCTGCATGTTTTGCGCATACTCAAACGAGTCATTCGATTAAAGAAAAATCAGCAATACATAACTTTGTCGAAAAGTCCCTCGGCAGTTTTACTGATTGTAAATTTTTTTATGCATAACAAAGAAAACAAATAATTAAAAAAAAATCTGGATTAAAAACTTTCTATCCGGTCTGTTTCTGATTTATGCTTTTCCCCTCCAAATCCATGAAATAAAATTAAGTGTGGGGTTCGCCTGCTTGGTTCAGCGTCTGCTCTTGAGTCGCGAAGCAAAAAGTTAATCCTTACGTCGCGGGTTCGAACCCCATAGTGGGACGTGGAGACCGGTCCTTCGGATGAGTCCATGTAAACCGAGGTCCCTTGTCGCAGTAGGTGCTGGCACGGAAAAGATCCCTCCCTACTCAAAAGCCCTGTGTGTCTTGTATTGGACAAAACTTTAAGCTCTCCACCGGCAAGGGGTGGCATCTCTATATGAGTGAAAATATCGAGAGGGACGTTAAACAATATACAATCATCAATAAACTGAGTGTGGATATGAAATCATATTTTTAATTCAAATAAGAAGAAAACAATGACTTAGATTATTTGAATTAAACATTATGTCCTCTATCTTTGACAGACATTACAATTTTAACATTGCATTGCATTGCAGCAGAGTGCAGTATGGTGCAATTATACTTGTATTTGAACAAGAACAATTATTTTACTTATCAATGTATTTGAATTAACATTTCCCACCCCGCCCTCCAGAGACATCCTATACAAACAATTTTCCTATGTTCCTGGTCAATGTTAACAGAAATAAAAAAAATAATAATAAGTACAATTTTTTAAGACAGCTGTACAACGGTTTCAATGTATTGGTATAAAAAAATATTAGAAAACAATTTTTCTTTTAAATTGGTACTGATCACACTCAAGTGTTGTTTACTAATTTCCGTATTGGAAACTATTTAATTTCTTACTGTGTATCTGTTTCTTTCATATAATGAATTTATTTTTGCTTTGTATTGTCAAAAATATGCTATATGCATTGACTCTTTTAGTTATATGTACTTTATCATTTATTTACCTATTTAAAAAATGACTACTTAACTTTGCAATTGCGTTTCTATTAATATCAAATGGAACACCTTCAAATCGCTATTTTAAATCATGTATCCAGAAAAATTCCATATACTTACATGTAAGATGACAAAATTTCTTCTAGAGTTTTTTTAAATTTTACATGTAGATTATAATATTTTATCTTTTTAATGAACATGACATGAGTGTAACTGCAGCTGTACAAATAAAAAAACCAAAAACAAAAGAAAAAAATATGCTCTCAATTTTAAAACATAAATTCACATTTTATTATAATAATCTTATTTCTTTTTTGATATCCCATACAATGATCTCCATTTAAAATATCGGTATAATGTCCATGTTTTAATATTGTCTAAGTTTTTCATTGACCTGGCCACAAACAGGAATCGGGGTAGAAGAACGGAAGGTATCACCCTGGTGTTACTTCTATTTCTACTTCTGATAGTCTCACAATTTGAAAAGTCGTGGAAAGCAATGAAGACACTCAGAATCAGGACCATATATCTAGAATCCATATTTCCTAAAATAATCAAAAGGAAAATTCAATTTTTCTAGCATTTAGTATGCAGATGGAAAAGACAGAGAACATTGATAAGTTGCATATTTTCAATAAACAGGATGAAACGAACAGGACAAAAGCATGAGTCTTCGGAAACACACTTGGTAGGACCAAGCAGGTAAGTCTTAGCTTCCAATAAACATCCAATCAAATCTTAACAC